CCCTAACCCTAACCCTAACCCTAACCCTAACCCTAACCCTAACCCTAACCCTAACCCTAACCCTAACCCTAACCCTAACCCTAACCCTAACCCTAACCCTAACCCTAACCCTAACCCTAACCCTAACCCTAACCCTAACCCTAACCCTAACCCTAACCCTAACCCTAACCCTAACCCTAACCCTAACCCTAACCCTAACCCTAACCCTAACCCTAACCCTAACCCTAACCCTAACCCTAACCCTAACCCTAACCCTAACCCTAACCCTAACCCTAACCCTAACCCTAACCCTAACCCTAACCCTAACCCTAACCCTAACCCTAACCCTAACCCTAACCCTAACCCTAACCCTAACCCTAACCCTAACCCTAACCCTAACCCTAACCCTAACCCTAACCCTAACCCTAACCCTAACCCTAACCCTAACCCTAACCCTAACCCTAACCCTAACCCTAACCCTAACCCTAACCCTAACCCTAACCCTAACCCTAACCCTAACCCTAACCCTAACCCTAACCCTAACCCTAACCCTAACCCTAACCCTAACCCTAACCCTAACCCTAACCCTAACCCTAACCCTAACCCTAACCCTAACCCTAACCCTAACCCTAACCCTAACCCTAACCCTAACCCTAACCCTAACCCTAACCCTAACCCTAACCCTAACCCTAACCCTAACCCTAACCCTAACCCTAACCCTAACCCTAACCCTAACCCTAACCCTAACCCTAACCCTAACCCTAACCCTAACCCTAACCCTAACCCTAACCCTAACCCTAACCCTAACCCTAACCCTAACCCTAACCCTAACCCTAACCCTAACCCTAACCCTAACCCTAACCCTAACCCTAACCCTAACCCTAACCCTAACCCTAACCCTAACCCTAACCCTAACCCTAACCCTAACCCTAACCCTAACCCTAACCCTAACCCTAACCCTAACCCTAACCCTAACCCTAACCCTAACCCTAACCCTAACCCTAACCCTAACCCTAACCCTAACCCTAACCCTAACCCTAACCCTAACCCTAACCCTAACCCTAACCCTAACCCTAACCCTAACCCTAACCCTAACCCTAACCCTAACCCTAACCCTAACCCTAACCCTAACCCTAACGTCTAACGTCTAAGTCTAAGTCTAAAGTCTAAAGTCTAACGTCTAAAGTCTAAGTCTAAAGTCTAAGTCTAAGTCTAAGTCTAACCCCCAGTCTAAGTCTAAGTCTAGGTGTCTAAGTCTAAGTCTAACCCCCAGTGTCTAAGTCTAACCCTTAGTGTCTAAGTCTAAGTCTAATCCCCAGTGTCTAAGTCTAAGTCTAACCCAGTGTCTAAGTCTAAGTAGTCTAAGTCTAATCCCCAGTGTCTAAGTCTAAGTCTAACCCCCAGTGTCTAAGTCTAAGTCTAACCCCCAGTGTCTAAGTCTAACCCTTAGTGTCTAAGTCTAAGTCTAAGTCTAAGTCTAACCCCCAGTGTCTAAGTCTAATCCCCAGTGTCTAAGTCTAAGTCTAACCCCAGTGTCTAAGTCTAAGTCTAACCCTTAGTGTCTAAGTCTAAGTCTAAGTCTAAGTCTAACCCCCAGTGTCTAAGTCTAACCCTTAGTGTCTAAGTCTAAGTCTAACCCCCAGTGTCTAAGTCTAACCCCCAGTGTCTAAGTCTAAGTCTAACCCCCAGTGTCTAAGTCTAAGTCTAACCCTTAGTGTCTAAGTCTAACCCCCAGTGTCTAAGTCTAACCCTTAGTGTCTAAGTCTTTGTCTAAGTCTAACCCCCAGTGTCTAAGTCTAACCCCAGTGTCTAAGTCTAAGTCTAACCCCAGTGTCTAAGTCTAAGTCTAACCCTTAGTGTCTAAGTCTAAGTGTCTAAGTCTAACCCCCAGTGTCTAAGTCTAAGTCTAACCCCCAGTGTCTAAGTCTAAGTCTAACCCCCAGTGTCTAAGTCTAACCCTTAGTGTCTAAGTCTAAGTCTAACCCCCAGTGTCTAAGTCTAACCCCCAGTGTCTAAGTCTAAGTCTAACCCCCAGTGTCTAAGTCTAAGTCTAACCCCCAGTGTCTAAGTCTAACCCTTAGTGTCTAAGTCTAAGTCTAAGTCTAACCCCAGTGTCTAAGTCTAACCCCCAGTGTCTAAGTCTAAGTCTAACCCCCAGTTTCTAAGTCTAAGTCTAACCCTTAGTGTCTAAGTCTAACCCTTAGTGTCTAAGTCTAACCCCCAGTGTCTAAGTCTAAGTCTAATCCCCAGTTTCTAAGTCTAAGTCTAACCCTTAGTGTCTAAGTCTAAGTCTAACCCCCAGTGTCTAAGTCTAACCCTTAGTGTCTAAGTCTAAGTCTAACCCCCAGTGTCTAAGTCTAAGTCTAACCCTTAGTGTCTAAGTCTAAGTCTAACCCCCAGTGTCTAAGTCTAACCCTTAGTGTCTAAGTCTAAGTCTAATCCCCAGTTTCTAAGTCTAAGTCTAACCCTTAGTGTCTAAGTCTAAGTCTAATGCCCAGTGTCTAAGTCTAACCCCCAGTGTCTATGTCTAAGTCTAACCCCCGTCTAAGTCTACCACCCTCCACACCTACCTTTCTCACCTACCTTCCAGTGTCCTTCCAGTCGTTGCCGTGACAAAGCAAGACACACAACATACGTGCATTGTTTAACTGTTTGTTTATTACAGCACTGTTTCCACAAGGCATGACTCATACAATCATATACATACGCGCTATACCAGCAACTACACATTGAGAAGCAAAACATGTAATGAACATGGATCTCTGATTCCAAGACTTAGTTTATAGGCGCAGCATCCACACATTCTGTACATGGCACAACACAGTTTACAGGCGCAACTTAACACATATTGCATACATGGCACGACGCAATTTACAGGCGCAGCACACGCATACGCAGTACACTTTAAGACATGGTTCACATAGATGTCAGACCAACCAGAGAAAGGGTACAAAGCCTCCACACCCCATTAGTGACACCACACTTGTGAGAATGTTGCATACCGCAACCCACCTCAAAAGCAGTGCAGATCTCAGCCCACCCAAACACATTGCAATTCTCAGAACGGCCACAAAGGGGCGCGAGTCTCAGACTGGCCGGGAAGGAACAAAATCGCCTCCGACGGCCCTTGGTTACGGGGTTGGGTTAGCCCTGCCTAGGAGCAAACAAAGCAAGGCTAGCCCAACCCCGTAACCAAGGCAAAGCTAAAGCCAATTTGGCTTACATTAATTGAATGTAAAGCTAAAGCCAATTTGGATGAAGTCAATTGAATGCAAGGCTAAAGTCAATTTGGTTGAAGCCAATTGAATGCAAAACCAAAGCCAATTTGGTTCAAGTCAATTGAATGTAAAGCTAAAGCCAATTTGGTTGAAGCCAATTGAATGCACATGCTAAAGCCAATTCGGTTGAGATAAATTGAACGCACATGCTGAAATCAGAGCAACTCTCAAAATAGCCGCAATGGGGCGCGAGTCTCAGACTGGCCGGGAAGGAACAAAATCGCCTCCGACGGCCCTTGGTTACGGGGTTGGGGTAGCCCTGCCTAGGAGCAAACAAAGCAAGGCTAGCCCAACCCCGTAACCAAGGCAAAGCTAAAGCCAATTTGGTTTACATTAATTGAATGTAAAGCTAAAGCCATTTGGTTGAAGCCAATTGAATGCAAGGCTAAAGCCAATTTGGTTGAAGTCAATTGAAAGCAAAGCCAAAGCCAATTTGGTTGATGCAAAATGATTGCAAGGCTAAAGCCAATTTGGTTGAGATAAATTGAACGCAGATGCTGAAATCAGAGCAACTCTCAAAATGGCCGCAATGGGGCGCGAGTCTCAGACTGGCCGGGAGGAACAAAATCGCCTCCGACGGCCCTTGGTTACGGGGTTGGGGTAGCCCTGCCTAGGAACAAACAAAGCAAGGCTAGCCCAACCCCGTAACCAAGGCAAAGCTAAAGCCAATTTGGCTTACATTAATTGAATGTAAAGCTAAAGCCAATTTGGATGAAGTCAATCGAATGTAAAGCTAAAGCCAATTTGGTTGAAGCCAATTGAATGCAAGGCTAAAGCCAATTTGGTTGAAGTCAATTGAATGCAAAGCTAAAGTCAATTTGGTTGAAGTCAATTGAATGCAAAGCCAAAGCCAATTTGATTGAAGTCAATTGCATGTAAAGCTAAAGCCAATTTGGTTGATGCAAAATGATTGCAAGGCTAAAGCCAATTTGGTTGAGATAAATTGAACGCAGATGCTGAAATCAGCACAACTCTCAAAATGGCCGCAATGGGGCGCGAGTCTCAGACTGGCCGGGAAGGAACAAAATCGCCTCCGACGGCCCTTGGTTACGGGGTTGGGGTAGCCCTGCCTAGGAGCAAACAAAGCAAGGCTAGCCCAACCCCGTAACCAAGGCAAAGCTAAAGCCAATATGGCTTACATTAATTGAACGTAAAGCTAAAGCCAATTTGGATGAAGTCAATCGAATGTAAAGCTAAAGCCAATTTGGTTGAAGCCAATTGAATGTAAAACTAAATCCAATTTGGTTGAAGTCAATTGAATGCAAAGCTAAAGTCAATTTGGTTGAAGCCAATTGAATGCAAAGCCAAAGCCAATTTGATTGAAGTCAATTGCATGTAAAGCTAAAGCCAATTTGGTTGATGCAAAATGATTGCAAGGCTAAAGCCAATTTGGTTGAGATAAATTGAACGCAGATGCTGAAATCAGCACAACTCTCAAAATGGCCGCAATGGGGCGCGAGTCTCAGACTGGCCGGGAAGGAACAAAATCGCCTCCGACGGCCCTTGGTTACGGGGTTGGGTTAGCCCTGCCTAGGAGCAAACAAAGCAAGGCTAGCCCAACCCCGTAACCAAGGCAAAGCTAAAGCCAATTTGGCTTATATTAATTGAATGTAAAGCCAAAGCCAATTTGGTTGAAGCCAATTGAATGTAAAACTAAAGCCAATTTGGTTGAAGTCAATTGAATGCAAGGCTAAAGCCAATTTGGTTCAAGTCAATTGAATGTAAAGCTAAAGCCAATTTGGTTGAAGTCAATTGAATGCACATGCTGAAATCAGCACAACTCTCAAAATGGCCACAAAGGGGCAGGAGTCTGAAAATGGCCTGGAAGGAACGCAGATGGCATGAGAAGGAAGCGTTGATTGGCCTGGGAGCAGAAGGGCCCTCAGGAAGGGTGCGGGTGGGTTGGATCGCTGGGCTGAGGCCGATGGGATGAACTGCAATGAGACCGAGCGCCGCATCCCACACGCTGCCTGCGATGACCTTGGTAGGGGCTTGTGGCAGAGTGACGGGAAGATCATGGAAAGGGAACGGAGCGGGGATTCGGGTAACGGTTGACCGAACCGAGCTGGCGGTGAGTGTGGGAGGCCTGGAAAGCCAATGGCGTCGCAGGGGGGAAGTCATCGACTGGAAGCGTCGAAGGCATCTTCACCTGTAATACAGAGACACGCTTTAGAAGGAGGAACGCCGAGACCCAAACGGTGCTCACCGTCAGCCCACCCCCACAAAATGTGGAAGCCAAACACCGCTCTAAGAAAAGGCTTCAGAGTAAGGTTAGGAGTATTTAACAGGAAAGGTGTTAGGGTTAGGTACATCAGGATTAGGGTTAGAGTGACCGTTAGGGAAGGCCAAGGCAAAGGCAGGAGCAAAAGGCAAGGAGAACAGCCGAGGGAACGCCAAAACAGAGGGCAAAGGGATGGGAAAGACATGGAGAACGCCAAAGGTCGCGTCAGAGGTCAGGCCCAAGAAGAAGGCCGCAGAGAACGCCAGAATGGAGACCAAAGAGATCGACGCAGAAGGCCAAAATGGAGGGCGAGGTCCGTGAGAACGCTGCAGGGAAGGCCGATGCAGAAGGTCAAGGGCAATGGCCAAAGAGAATGCGGCACAAAAGGCCAAAACCAAAGGCAAAGAGAATGCTGTAGGAGAAGACAAAACAAGAGGCCAAAGGGAATGGGCAAAGAAGGCCAGGAGCAATGGCCAAAAAGAACATGGAAGGGAACGCCAAAATAGAAGCCAAAGAGAACGCCGCAGGGAACGCCAGAACAGGAGGCCAAAGGAAATGGGGCAAAGAAGGCCGAGGGCAACGGCCAAAGAGAACGCAGCCAGGAACGCCAGAACTGAAGGCCAAAATAATGCTGTAGGGAACGCCAGAACGGGAGGGAAAGTGAACGTGGCAAAGAAGGCCAAGGACAAAGGCCAAGGGAATGTGGCACAGATGGCCAAAGCCGAAGGCCAAAGAAAACACAGTGAAGGTGGGCAAGGGCAAACGGCCAAGAGAATGCCACAGGGAACGCCAAAACAGGAGGGCAAGAGAACGCAGCAGGGAAAGCCAAGAGCAAGGAGAACGCTCCAGTGAAAGGCTGGAGGCGAGGAGAACACAGAAAGAAAAGGACAGGCAGCATCCAGGGCACCGTGAAGTGCAGAAATGAGCTCTGTGAACCCTACCTTGTGCCTCGCTAAGTAATGAGTAAACACCGGTGGGTGAGCATCGCCCTTACCTGCTGGGCAGACAATTACCAGCCAGCAAAGCGGGGTTCCGGGCATCCCAGGAAATGCAGATTCTGGTTCCTTGCTGCTGCCTGAAGAGCCGCGCATCTCCGTGCTGTCCTTACAGCGCTCAGGAGCAACGCAACTCTGCTGCCACCTGTGGGACACAACGCAGTAATGAAGGCGCTGCCCCGCATGTGTGGGGCTGCACCCTGAGCACAATGCTGTAATGATGACACAAGGGTTGTAATTAATTATAATTAACGTTAGGGATAGAATTAATGGTATTGATAGGGTTGAAGTTACAGATGGTCTAACATCAGTATTCTGCACTACAATTAGGGTTATTTGACAAAACATGGGGCATTATTTTTACGGCAGCATTCAGGGTAAGAGACATTTTCAACACTGGGTTAAGGGTTTGGTCTACAGATACGCTGCAGGTTAACAAAGTTATCGTTAGAACTCCCATTCAGCTGTGGGTTTAGGTCGAGGGTAACATTAATGCTGCCTCCCAGCTCACGCTAGAGTGCTAAAGACAAAGGGAAGCAGGACACCCAGGGCAGGCAAAGGAAAGCAGAACTCCCGTGGAAAGCCAAGGTAAATGCAAAGCAAACAGCCAAGCTAAGGCAAGGGCAAAAGCAAAGAGAGCACCGATGGAAAGCCAAGGGGAGGGCAAAGAGACCGCAGCAGGAAAGGCCAAGGGCAACGGCCAAAAGAACGCAGCACAAAATGCCAAAACAGAAGGCCGAGGGAGCACGGCATGGAATGCCCAGGAAAGGGCTAAGAAAACATGGCAGGAAGTGCCAGAACAGGAGGGCAAGAGAATGCTGCCGGGAACGCCAAAATCAAATGGTGAAGAGAATGTGGCTACAGAAAGCCAAGGGCAATGGCCAAGAGAACATAGCATGGGACACAATAACAGGGGGGCAAGGGAATGCCCAGACAAGGGCAAGGGCCAAGAGAACGTGGAAGGAAATGCCAAGGATGATGGTCAAGAGAACACGGCAAGAAACGCCAAAACAGGAGGGCAGGAGAACGCAGCAGGGAACGCCAAAACTGAATGCTGAAGTGAATATGGCAAAGAAAGCCAAGGGCAACGGCCAAGAGAAACCAGCATGGAACACAAAAACAGGAGGACAAGAGGATGCCCAACCAATGGCAACGGCTAAGAGAACATGGAAGGAAATGCCAGAACAGGAGGGCGAGAGAACGCGGCACGGAACGCCAAAACTGAATGCTGAAGTGAACGCGGCAAAGAAAGCCAAGGGCAGCGGCCAAGAGAACGTGGCATGGAACACAAAAACAGGAGGGCAAGAGAATGGAGTAGGGAACAGCAAGGGCAAAGGGAATGAAAACGCTGCAGTGAAAGGCTGGAGACAAGGAGAACACAGAAAGAAAAGGACAGGCAGCATCCAGGGCACCACGAAGTGCAATGAAGAGCTGTGGGAACACCGTGCTGTGCCATGCTAGGGAATGGATAAACACTGGTGGGTGTGCATTGCCCTTACCTGCTGGGCAGACAATTACCAGCCAGCAAAGCAGGGTTCCAGGCATTCCAGGAAATGCAGATTCCGGTTCCTTGCTGCTCCCATAAGAGCCACGCATCTCCATGCGGTCCTTATGGCACTCAGGAGCGCCGCAGCCTGCTGCCACCTGTGGGACACAAAGCAGTAATGAAGGCACTGCCCTGCAGATGTGCCTCTTTCACAAACCTGCACTCCTTTCTCTGATCAACGTGGCTGCGCTCTGCGCACGATTCTGCTTACCGGCAAGCACTGAGCTGGGAACAACAGACAAGGAGAAGGCTGAGGTACCCAACAACATCCATCTTCCATCTTCTCTGATAACTGCTCATTATACACCGCCCTCACCTTTGGTTTGGTAGGTGGGGATTCAGGAAGCAATGCCGGTCCCACAGACCCCTCCCTATCCCACACTGTGATGGGAGATCAGGTTCTGGAGCACCTGAGGACCCGAGCATCCAGGAGTCTTTGGGTCCTGATGAGACGAGTCCCAGAGCTCTGAGGGAATTCAGTGCTGCAGTCACCGAGCCACTCTCAGTGGTATTTGAGAAGTCGAGGCAGTCAGGTGAAGTCCCTGGTGAGCAGAAAAAAGGTGACAGCACAGCTGTTACTGCAGATATAAAGTGTGACCCTGGGAACTGCCAACATGTCAGTCTCACCTCTGTGCTGCAAAAAGTCATGGAGCAGATCCTCCTGGAAGGGACTCTGAAGCACGTTCCAGTGCGTCACCACCCTCTGTGTGAAAAGCTTCCTCCTAATAACCAACCTAAATCTCCCCTGTCTCAGATTAAAACCATTCCCCTTGTCCTATCACGATCCACCCTTGTAAACAGCCATTCCCCTTCCTGCTGTTCCCCCCTTCAAGTACTGTGAGGCTGCAATGAGGTCCCCCCCAAGCCTTCTCTTCTCCAGGCTGAACAAGCCCACTTCCCTCAACCTTTCCTTGTAGGAGAGCTGCTCCAACCATCTGATCATCTCAGTGCCTCCTCTGGACCCGCTCCGTGAGCTCCACGTCCTTCCTGTGCTGGGGGCCCCAGGCCTGGATGCAGCGCTGCAGATGGGGCCTCACAAGAGCAGAGCAGATGGGGACGATCACCTCACTCTCCCTGCTGGCCGCTCCTCTTTTAATGCAGCCCAGAACACAGCTGGCCTTCCAGGCTGCAAGCCCGCTCTGCTGGCTGACGTCCAGCTTCTCACCCACCAGGATCCTTCTCTGTGGGGCTGCTCTCAAGGTGTTCTTTGCTGAGTTTGCACAAACATCTGGGATTGCCCCTTCATCAGTGACATTGACAGTAGGGTGGAGTGCACCCTAATGACACCGAGCTGTGGGGTGCGGTGACACACCAGAGGGACGGGATGCCATCCAGAGGGACCTCAACAGGCTGAGTAGTGGCACTCAGCAACGCGCCTTCCAGCCCAGAAAGCCAACCGTATGCTGGGCTCCATCCAAAGATGTGCGGTCAGCAGGCGAAGGGAGGTGGTCCTGCCCCTCTGCTCTGCTGGGAGGCCTCACCTGGAGGTGCTGTGTGTGGATGTGGATGCCTGCAGTGCAGGACAGACGTGGAGCTGTTGGAGCACATCCAGAGAATGGCCACAGATATGAACCGAGGGATGGAACGCCTTTCCTATGAAGAAAGAGAGCTGGAGCTGCTCAGCCTGCAGAAGTGAAGGCTCCGAGGTGATCTGGTAACAGCCTTTCAATACTTGAAGGGAAGAACAAGGAAAGATTTAGCCTAGATATAAAGAAAATCTTGTACAGTGAGGGTGGTGACACAGTGGAACAGGTTACCCAGACATGTGATGGATGCCCTGTCCCTTCCAAGGTGAGGCTGACCCTGGGCAATCTGATCTGGCTGTGGATGTTCCTGTTCGTTGTGTGGCAGTTGGACGAGATCACCACCAATGGTACCAAGTACTCCGGCTGGGATAACCCACATCCATCACAGAGCATCTCTGGGCCAGTCCCAGTATTCAGCAGACCAGGGGCTCCACTTCATCACGCTGGGGTGATGCTGAGTACAGCGGTCCAGAAGAGGACAATCCTTGGCTTTCTATAAAGACAAAGCCAGATCTGCTGTTCAAACAGAAAGGACTGTAGGACCCCAAGGTGGTCAGTCACAACGTGCTCTGAGAACGATGCCTTGGGATCCATTACCATTGACAAATTCGTAAAGGAGATATGGGAGAGAACCAGACAAAACAGGAACAAATACCTGTTATCCCTATGCTCGAGTGGTGCAGACCATATCATGCTCAATGAGGATGAAGCAAATGGCCACTGCCATCTGGGACTGTTCTTCAGGTCCTGGTCAATGCACCTCACTCTATCGCCAGCTGTGTAGCACATTGGGCTGGAAGAATAGACCCCATGGAGCAAGGTAAGCCCCCTGCAACCCATTCGATCCCTGTATGAGCTTCCCACAGCCATCAAAAACCTGCCTGCATACAAACTAGTGCACAAACATGGGGCTCGCGATGTTCTGTTATCTGCTCGGCAGATCTCACAGTGCTTACACCACTAACCAGACAAACTCCGTCGATCCTTAAACCCCATTGAGCTGAAAAATTAGATCAACTGATTTATTACACCTAAGGGTGCACAGAATGCCCTTAAACAACTCTGCATGATTGGATGCAGTGCATAACAGCCCTGAAACAAAGAAAGAATAAATTACCCCATTCCAAAGATAAACAGCCCACACTGCGAAGGAAGCAGTGTCCAGGTAGAGATGCTGCCCTTATGGCTTCCATCCCTTAAATGTGGTCAGCATACTACCAAAAAAAACAAACAAACAAAAAAACAAACAAACAAAAAAAAACAAACAAAAAAAAACAAACAAAAAAACAAAAACAAACAAAAAAAAACACACACAAAAACAAAAAAAAAAAACAAAAAAAACCACAACAACAGGGAGATTGCAGCCCTGAAATAAAGAAGAAACCACTTACACCCTTCTCAAAGACCAAAACTCACCCATGCTTCACAGGAGACAGTCTCCAGAGATCAATGCTGCCCTTACATCTGCCAGCACTTCAGTGTGGTCAGGATGCCCCAAAAACAGGAAAGATCACAGCCCTAAAATAAGAAGGAATCACTCACCCTTTCTCAAGGATCAGACCTCACCCCACACTCCCAAGGAGACGGTCTCTAAAGACAGATACCACCTTAAAGGCTGCCAGCCCTTAAGTGGGGTCAGGATCCCCCCAGCAACAAGATATTGCAACCCTGAAAAAAAAAAGTCACTCACCCTGTTTCAAGGGTTCACACCACATTCTAAAGGAAGCGGTGTCCAGGTGCAGTCGCTGCTCCTTCTCCTGACAGACCTTAAATGTGGTCAGGAGCCCCCCAGAAAGTGAAATTACAATCCAACAATAAAGAAGAAATCAATGACCCCATTCCAAAAACAAACACTCAGCCCACACTCCAAAAGAAGCAGCCTCCATGGAGAAATGCTGCCCTTACAGCTTTCAGCCCTTAAAAGTGGTCAGGATCCCCAAAAAGGAAAGACCAAAGCCCTGCAATAAAGCATCAATCACTCACCTCATTCCAAAGGGTAGAACTCACTCCCAATGCTCCCAAGGAGGCAGTCCCCAAGCTGAATGCTGCCCTTGCTGTTTCCCAGCCCTTAAATATAGGCAGGGAGGGGTGGAGCCAAGCTCAGCCCTATCCGGTCCCACAGGTAAATTGCTTCCACCTGTGCTGGCAGGGCTGGCCACACCCCTCACCAGGTGCTCCATCACTGCTTCAGACTGTAAACAACAAAAAAAAGACTGATAACGAGCAGGTGTGGCAAGGGGAGTTTGATCAAAGGATGAGCAACAATGGCACACGTATTTTGACTGAAGTCTGTCCTCAAAGGCATTCAGTAAAATTTCTAATAGATAGGGGAGCGCAAATTTCAATACTGATACAGCACACAAATTTCAGTACTGATACAGCAAGATGCTGAAAAGCTGTGTGTGCAGCCTGGACGTCAAAGTTGAGATTACCGGTGTGATCGGAGAGAGCGCTGTCTGCCAAACTAGAGGGGACAGCTTGTGGCTCTCCAGTGAAAAACGTGTCGCCTACTTTCTTTGCAATTAAAGACCATTGTGAAAACAATTCAGGATTTGACATCCTCAAGTTTCAACCCCAAACCCCAAAGAAGTAGGGTGTCTGCAGCATGTATATACTTCGTGCAGCCCCTGTGCTCCTGGAATCAGAGATCACTGATGTACTGCAGCACCCTGTTTCTGCTGTAGCATGATGTGGGATTTCTGAAGTCATCGCAGATTTGGAGAAAAAACATTTCTGGAACACACTCCCCATATAACTCGCCCGTCTGTCTAGTTTCGAAACCAGATGGAAGGTGAAGATTAACAATAGATTATTGGCGTCTGAATCGTTACACAGCCCTGCTAGGAGCTGCTGTCCCAAACACTGCCAACATAACAGCTACTTGTCAAGCAGCCACATGTCAGTTCAGTCCTGTGGAACCCAGTGCCCCCTGTATGCCCCAGAACTCTTTCATGGCCCCACAGTGGGCTCTAGAGACACCTGGACGTGTCCCAGAGCTATGGAGTATGCAGCGAGCAGCTCCAGAGACATCATCGAACCCTCTCCCAGCTCCTCAGTGCACTCTGGGGTGTGATGGTGATGTGACACATGGAGGTAACAGGCTGGGCCAGGATGTGCCAGTGCCACCGCAGGTACCATTCGAGAAGCGCTGTGGGGCAGACGAGCATCCTGAGCTGGCAGTAACGGTGATGCCCGGTGCCACACTGCTGGGCAGCCATGTGGCCAATGTGACCGCAGTGCTGGTAGTGCACAACCCCTTTGAAGCAGGGGACACCCTGCTGGTGCTGCCTGTTGCATCCTCTGCTGGCATGTTCCTTCTCTGTCTTTTCGGCAGTTTGCTGTCTCTCTGGGGTCAGATAGTAATAGTGCACTTCTAGGGGTTCTGCTTCCTGTTTACGGGGATTATGGTGACACTGGGGTGATACTAGGGAGTGATGTGGGGGGCTGATGGGGGTTCACTGTGGTTTGACATCAAGGGGTGATGCTGTTGCAGTGGTGACACTGGGAAGGGATGTTGGAGGGTGATGTTGGGGTATTACTGAGGGGTAACATCAGGGAGTGATGCTGAGAGGTGATGACGCTGGGAGTGATGTTGGGTATCGGTGGGATTTAATATCAAGGAGTGATGCTTGAGGGGAGATACTGGAGTGACAGCGGTGCTGGAGGGATGTTAAAGGTGATACTGGTGATATTAAGCAGTAACAATTGTTAGGAGGTGCTGATGTTGGGGTGGCACTATGGTGATGTTAGGAGCGATGGGGTATCACTGGGGTGACCTCAGGCAGTGATGCTGGGTGGTGATGTTGGGGGGTTGCACTGGGTGACGTTGGGATGACCTTGGATAATAATAGGGAGTAAAGCTGGGGGGCTGATGTTAGTGTCACTAGGAGCTTTAAACAGGGAGTGATATTGGGGGTGATACTGGAGTGATGTCGGGCTATTACTGGGGATGACATTGTTGGAGTGATGCTGCAGGAGTCACGCAGGAATGATGTTGAGGTGACACTGGATTAATATTTGGCAGAGATGCTGCAGAGTGATGCTAGAGTGACATTGGGGGGATATTTTTTGTTGGGGTATCTCTAGGGGATGACATCATGGAGTGACATTGTTCAGAGGATGCTGAAAGGTGATACTGCCGTGACATGGGGGGGACATTTTCGGGATGTCATGAGTGATGTTGGTGGGTGGTATTGGGTATCACTTGGGGGGAACATTGTGGGCAGGTGGTGTGGAGTGATACTGGGCTGATATGAGGCGTGACTGTGGGGAATGATGTTGGGGTGTACCTTCAGGGTGACACTGGGGTCACGTTGTGGGGCTGGCATTGGGGGGGGGGGGGTGTCGTTGGGTGGTGATGGGGGATCACTGGGGTTGATCTCAAGGAGTGATGCTGGGGTGATGTTGGGGGTATTGCTGGGGGGTGTCATTGCTGGGATGATGCTGGAGGTGACCTGACTGCCTGTCCCCACAGCCCCAGTGAAGCTCCAGAGACGCTGGGTGACAACACGGTGACACAGAGCATCCCCATGCACTACAGGATGGGGATGGTGGCCACCTCATGAGGTGTGAGAACACTCCTGGGTTCCCCTGCACACCACAGTCCCCAAAGGGGTCTGTTTTGGCACAGCAGCGCGCATGAGCCAGTTTTAGCACAGGAGTACGCATGCGCCAGTCTCGGCTCTACAGTACGCATGCGCCGGTTTCGGCTCTACAGTACGCATGCGCGAGCCTTGGCACAACAGTGCACATGAGTCAGTTTTAGCACAGCAGTACGCCTGTGCCAGTTTCAGCTCTACAACACGCATGCGTCAGTTTTAGCGGAGCAGTACGCATGCGCTAGCTTTAGCTCTACAATACGCATGCGCCAGTTTTAGCACAGCAGTACGCATGCGCCAGTTTTTGCTCTACAACACGCATGCGCCGGTTTTAGCGCTACAACACGCATGCGCCAGTTTTAGCACGGCTGTGCGCATGTGCTAGTTTTAGCAAAGCTGTGCGCCTGCACCAGTTTTAGCGGAGCAGTACGCATGCGCCAGTTTTATCACTACAAGGCGCATGCGCCAGTTTTAGCGGAGCAGTACGCCTGTGCCAGTTTCAGCTCTACAGCACGCATGCGCCAGATTTAGCACAGCTGTGCGCATGCACCAGTTTTAGCGGAGCAGTACGCATGTGCCAGTTTTATCGCTACAAGGCGCATGCATCAGTTTTAGCGGAGCAGCGCGCATGCGCCAGTTTGAGCAAAGGGTACGCATGCGCCAGTTTCGGGTCTACAACACGCATGCGCCAGTTTTAGAACAACAGTGCGCATGCGCCACTTTTAGAGTTACATCACGCATGCGCTAGTTTTAACACAGCTGTGCGCATGCGCTACTTTTAGCACAGCTGTGCGCATGCACTAGTTTTAGCACAGCTGTGCACATGTGCCAGTTTTAGCGGAGCAGTACGCATGCGCTAGTTTTAGCTCTACAACACGCATGCGCCAGTATTAGTGCTACAACATGCATGCGCCAGTTTTAGCACAGCTGTGCGCATGCGCCAGATTTAGTACAACAGTGCGCATGCGCCAGTTTTAGCTCTACAACACGCATGCGCCAGTTTTAGAACAACAGTGCGCATGCGCGAGTTTTAGCCCTACATCACGCATGCGCCAGTTTTAGCACAGCTGTGCGCATGTGCTAGTTTTAGCAAAGCTGTGCGCATGCGCCAGTTTTAGCGCGGCAGTACGCATGTGCCAGTTTTATCACTACAAGGCGCATGCGCTAGTTTTAGCGGAGCAGTACGCATGCGCCTGTTTCAGCTCTACATCACGCATGCGCCAGTTATAGCACAGCTGTGCGCATGCGCCAGATTTAGCAAAGCTGTGTGCATGCGCTAGTTTTAGCACAGCTGTGCGCATGCGCTGGTTTTAGTGGAGCAGTACGCATGCACCAGTTTTAGCTCTACAACACGCATGCGTCAGTTTTAATACAGCTGTGCACATGCGTCAGTTTTAGCTCTACAACACGCATGCGCCAGTTTTAGAACACCAGTGTGCATGCGCCACTTTTAGGGCTACATCAAGCATGCGCCAGTTTTAGCACAGCAGTATGCATGAGGCAGTTTAAGCAAAGAGCAGGCATGCGCCAGTTTCGGCTCTACAACAAGCATGCGCCAGTTTTAGCGCTACAACACGCATGCGCCACTTTTAGCGCTACAACACGCATGCGCCACTTTTAGCGCTACAACACGCATGTGCCAGTTTTAGCGCTACAACACGCATGCGTCAGTTTTAGCGCTACAACACGCATGCGCCAGTTTTAGCACAACAGTGCGCATGCGCTGGTTTTAGGTCTACAACACGCATGCGCCAGTTTTAGAACGACAGTGCGCATGCGCCAGTTTTAGAGGAGCAGTACGCATGCGCTAGTTTTAGCGCTACAACACGCATGCGCCAGTTTAAGCACCGCTGTGCGCATGCGCTAGTTTTAGCACAGCAATGCGCATGCGCCAGTTTTAGCCGGAGCAGTATGCATGCGCTAGTTGTAGCACAGCTGTGCGCATGCGCCAGTTTTAGCAGAGCAGTACGCATGCGCCGGTTTTAGCGGAGCAGTACGCATGTGCTAGTTTTAGCACAGCTGTGCGCATGCAGCAGTTTAAGCACAGCAGTACGCATGCGCCAGGTTTAGCTCTACAACACGCATGCGCCAGTTTTAGCACTACAACACGCATGCGCCAGTTTTTAGCACGGCTGTGCGCATGCGCTAGTGTTAGCTCTACAATACGCATGCGCCAGTTTTAGCTCTACAACACGCATGCGCTAGTTTTAGCAAAGCTGTGCGCATGCGCGGGTTTTGGCTTTACAGTACACATTTGGTAGTTTGGCACAACAGTGCGCATGTGTCAGTTTTAGTGGAGCAGTACGCATGCGCCAGTTTCGACCTTACGATACGCATGCGCCACTTTTAGCTCTACAACAGTCATGCGCCAGTTTTAGCTCTACTACACGCACGCGCCAGTATTAGCATGTCTGTGCGCATGCGCCAGTTTTAGTATTACATTACGCATGCGCCTGTTTTAGCGGAGCAGTACGCTTGCGCGAGTTTTAGCGCTACATCACGCATGCGCCAGTTTTAGCACAGCTGTACGCATGCGCTAGTTTTAAAAAAGCCGTGCGCATGCGGCAGTTTTAGCAGAGCAGTACGCATGCGCCAGATTTATCGCTACAA